TTCTCCTCTTGATGAAAACAGACTGAAGATATTCATCAGTCTACATGACGATGACTGCTTCGAGTTTCTCACCGCCCCGAGGTTCGATCAAATCGTGAACGAAGCCGCGAAGTATCGTCCGGGAGTCCCGGACGGGGGCTCCCCGTGTCCGCTGGGAGCGCATGATCTGGGTGGGACCATGACCAACGGATTGATTTGACCAAAGACGACTCAACATGAAAGTGGATAGAACGGCCGAAAAAAGACTAAGACTGAGTACCAAGAGGTGGTGCTGTTCCACGTCCGTATTTGCGAGTCGGATTTGTGCAAGAAGTGCTTTTTGTATTGCACACTGAGCGACCGTGCTGTACTTGACACACACACACACATAGAGAGAGAGAGAGAGACACAGATTCATCTTCTCCAGTGTCACGAGTCATGGGCCGTCCTTTTCGATTTCGATGCAGGACATACACACAAAGGCCACGAAGATCCACAAAGGCAATAGTTGCAGAATTACAATGCACCCGTACGAGAAGGCCACAGTTTAAAGGCAAGTCTAAAGGTTCTAGATAGTTTCTAGCATCGCCCAAAAAGAAGCGTGTATTGATTAATCATGGTAAAGCAACCATAGCGTGACACATTATATACGTTGATTCCCTTGGTGCACATGACCTCAAAAAGATATATATGATATAATTTATATATATTAATTAATCAAATCGTTAGTAAGAATAGCCTTTTGTTAATGCAACCTCCTCCTTTTCTGAATAGACATTGAAGTCAGTGTGATCGCGCTTTTGAAGTGAGAGTTGCTGAAAGGTGGGCTTGAGTTTTGCAACTGCCTTTGGGATGAATTTGTGGTTGACAGTCATGCTGCCAAGAGTGTAGAAAGCTATTGGAGATGTTGCACATTAAAAACCCTGCAAATGAAAAGAGAACATATCCGATGGCGATAACCTACTAGAGACTAGTAATTTTTATGCGACCTCATTATACACATGGAAATTGTATTGGATTGGATAAGTAATGCAAACACTGAAATGCTGGCAGCCCCTCTTTGAGATGACACTGCTACGTTTCATTTGCAGGGTTTCGCGGTGCCTTTGTTTGTGCTGTCCCTATTTTTGATTTTGGTCCCCCAGATTTGCATCAGTTTTCGATCTTCAAGCGCTCGAGTCTCGTCACGGTTGTATGACTTAGATGCTGTTGATCCGCAGTTTGACGCTGTTGGTCCCATGTGCTGTCCCCTTGTGCCTCTCTTGGTCTTTGGGAAGATTCCAGCCAAAGAACAATTCTAAACCCTATATCCTGCTGGACATGAACACGAAGCTACTAGTAACAAAGGGCATCGCTACTACGAGCAAGAAGCTACTAGTAGCTCCTAGCCTTACTGCTAGTAACAATAAAGCTACAATTGTTGTAACGTTTTTTGCATTTTTTTGCGCTCAAAGTGTTGGACGTTTTGCACTCAAAGGCGATCTCCATCCCAGCAGTTGCATTTTGGGGTTCCAAATCTGACGAGTGCGACCTGCGATTCGTAAGGAATGAGGGTGGCTGGATCCTAATGTGTACAGTGACGGCTCATTCCCTTATTCTCCATTTCTCTACTAAACACCAGTCAGAAAGGTTACCAAAAACCTCTGCAGTCTCTGATCGACCCCGGCAGTTGTCATGTTTGAGTGCCAATCCTGCAAAAATTGAATTGAAAGAGTGATAAGAGTGTATATAGTTAGTCAAGATTTTGAAGAGCAGCCTTTGGCCCTCCCGATGGACCCGGTCCTCTTCCGAAGGGGACTGGAGCTCAGGCTATCGAGCTGGAAGTACCTGGTCGGGACCCCCCAGTCGACCGACCGATGGAGAGGCTTTTTCAGGTTTGGTCCCTGTGATTGGATGGTTTGCATCTCAGGTTTGGATGTTCATGCGATTCGCACCAAGTGCACTCCGCGTAGTACACGGATGCACACGGTCATCCACTCTTCGTTGGCATGACTTGTTCTCGCTTGTGATGTAGTGTTTTTTTTTTTCTCATCCTTCTCATGCCAGTGAGAGCATTGTCATCGATTTCGTGCCTTGAACCACCGAGATCAAAATGAAGCGGTGGGAGGTGGAGGTCAGATTCTTTTGTCTTCCATGTAAACTTCATGTTCGTGACATCTCGCTCATTCACGATGGTTGGTTTCATGTTGTGCTTGTCATCATCATTTTGTCTTATTCACCTCATGATATGCATGTTCATGTTGTTTTTTTCGTTATCGTGTCACTCTTGTTGAACCTTTTGTTGTCATGCATTACCATTACTCGCATTAGCATGTCATCTCCGCTACAGCTGCTGGTGGGTCCGGCGGGATTTGGACGTCTTCTGCCCTGGTCGAGGTTGCGAGGTCGAGGTCTACTGCTGGGGTAGGGGGACGCACTTCCTGGGCCATCATAGCTATGCCTTTCTTCTGCCTTTTCAATCAAAAGCTGCTTTTTCTTTCGCAAATGCCAACTATTTTGTCTGCCAAGACACTGACCTGTTTCCGATCGAAGTCAAGGTTTTTTTCCAACGGCGATCTTCCCCGACCCAACAGCGACGTTTGCCGCGACGTTTGAAACGAAAAAAGGCGTTTTATTCACGGCAAACGACTGAACTTTGTGTTGGTTCGCCAAGCGGCAGATAAGGATACACCCGTGGAAGGCAGATATATATATATATAATTTGTAGTGTCTTGTGCTTGTAGGGCAGGTGTGGTGGACACATAATCTTTCATGTCAGTGGATCTCACTTGAGTTGTGGCATGGTGCACATACATATGCCGCCGCTACAACGTATGCTCAAGTGACCCAAAACGGCTTCAGGTGAATTTCTTTTCCCCACCCACCCTGCCCAGAAACAGTGTGATGTTGCGCATTCCGCTGCGCGTTTTCATTTGGTTTGGGGGGGCCAGCAGAAAGCCACGGCCAGGAACGAGTGCCGGGTCCGACCGGTGGGTGAGGCCCATCAGGGTTGTGGTCACCCCTTTGCTCCGGGTGCGGCGGCCGGGTGAGTCTAACTCCGAGGGGTCACGGTCTTAACTGGTTAGTTAAGTCCACAGTATCCTCCTGTACGCTCTGGAGCTGTAGGCTCGAGAGAGCGGGTGTTGAGAGTTCTCTTCATGCCGGTGAAAGGAGTTCACCCCCTACTGGTCCTAGGAGTACGAACCAACGCAAATCGGAAGAGTGCTTCTGATGACTCATAAGAGTTCATGGCGTTCCCAGCTCCCCCTCGCGAACGGTGAAAAAGGAGTGAGCTGTGCTGCAGTCTACTGATCTGAATGTATACAGAAATAAAGCAAAGCAGCATATCCACCGAACACAGGGAATTCATGTACTTTGTCCTTGGCGACGACCACACCCCCACTCAGTGACCAGGAGTGTGTTTCGGTTGCACCCCTGTGCTGTTCCTTCATGAGCAAGCACTGATGAACAAGCCGAGTCGGTCGGGAAAAATGGTTGAGCAACACTGTCTCCACTACCACCCTGAGGCACTGCGGCTCTCTCACCATCCGCATGCCTGCAGGGGCGGTGGGCCATGGAGGCAGCCGACGAACCCGCCATCACAACCCGAGCCTTTTCCGCACCGCCGCAGTTGACTGAATAGATCGCCCCCGAAGCAAAAAATCCAAGAGTTTGGAATGTGGTTTTCCGAAAGGTGCCATAAGAGAGGGAGGTGCACGCAAGCTGTGCAGGATTCTGTACAGAACTGAACTCTAGCAATTAGTGTTTGGCTGAGGGATTATTGGAGGTGTTCCCGCAAGCCTTGAGGGCATTTTCTTGAAGACACACACTATTCACACCCGAACTGAGGGTCGTGGATGTAAGACTGGCACAACTTTCAACGCAACGACGCGTTGTTAGCTTTGAAGACTCTAAGACCCACCATCACCAGCAGGCGCTGTCAGCATCCACTGCTGCCAGTTGCTAGCAAGAGTGCAGCATTTTAACATACCTGTTACCTGAGCTTATTATGTTAATGATGGCTGCAGCTCTTACTAAACCAGCCAACCCAATGAACTTCATCATACTGAGCATATTGACCCTGCTTTCAACTCCACCACTGTGGCTGCTGGTTTGCAAAACTTGTAGGTATGGATACCGTACTACCAGAACGAAGGTGGATAGAAGATGCCAGAATCTAGGAAGTGTCGAGCTTCTGCAGACACCCATCCAGACGATTGTTGTATTCAGCTCAACACATGGGGCCCATTGCGGCCCTCCATTCGAGGACATGGTCCAGACCAAACCAGTCCCTGGGTTTCAGGGTTTCAGGGTTTCCAACAGTTCGGACCGTCCATGCACGGAGCCGACTCCTGGGGCTCGGTCTTGGCCCAGGCCTTTATCACTCGCAGTCCCCAGAGGTGCGGCTTCCAGGGTTCGAGAGGTCCTGGGTTAGAGGTGTTTTTCGTTTTGAAAGCGCTGTGAAGCGGTGTCGAACCTGGTAGTGTAGGATGTGTGAAGTTGTCCATTCATGACCCCGAAGCCAGCAGCTGGTAGAAACAGGTTTTAGTCGTTGATACAGTAACATTTTCAGTATCATTTTGCCATGAGAGTAGTGACATGTATAGTATTTTGGTTCACCAAAGTGCGCTTTTTTGAGGCCCAGCTTGGTCCTGACCAGGGTGACTCTGAAATATTTAAAGGGCCTGTGCAAAATGGTGCTTACCACCTTGCCGCCACTCACAAGCACACAGATTTGATTGGAGGCAAGTAGCAACACACAAAATAAACCAGGAGCAAGTGGTGCACAAAGCCAGGCACGCTCTTTGTTATACGGTCTATTGCGAAGAATTCGTTCTGGCCATATTTGCCCCTTCTCAAATCCTTTTGTGCTCAATAGTTAGATGTGTAGTTGGACGTTTTTGCACAGATCCACACACATACATACATACCGCTACCCTGCTTCTGGCTCGCTTAGCAGTAGTCAGGCAATGCCCTTCGGTCAGATTCTTCCCAGTTTTCAAAAAAAAAAACCGAATCAATCGAAACAGATCCGTTGCTTTGCTTGGCTTCCTTTACTCGGCACCCCGAGCGATGGCGCAGCGGTCCGGCCCCGTGGCGCCCGCGACCGGCCCTGTGGACGCGCCGGACGCGCTCCCGAGGATGCTGCCCACGGGTTTCGACGAGCTCCTTCAGGCGGGTTGAAAGCAGTGACTCGATGAGTCGCGTTTCGATGTTGGGAGCGTGGGGAATGGGTGATTTATTTTGTATGTTGTGTTGATTTGTGTTGTATGTCTTTTTGAAGAGTGCTGGTATAGGAGTTGGTAGAGGTTCTTTGTGAGGGGGATTTTTACGTGTAGGATCTTCATTCAAAGGCAGACCTTCCAATCCTTTCGTGGTGCAGTTTCGGGCAAGGTGGAGGAGTTCTTTTTAGAATACAAACGAAATAATAAGCATGGGCATACTTGCTGGACTCGTAGATGCTTTCGGAGAACATGACAAGACTTTCGCAACGCATGTGTGAATCTATATGGGACACCATATGTACCATATTTATACAGGATGACTTTGTGTACCTTTGCCATTGTCCAAACCAAATTGAGAAGGGGAAAGACCAATCGAGAATTCCGCACCTGCAAGATCTTCAATAGAACCCCTTGGCCCAACGGTTTTTTGGGAGGTTCCTGATGTTCATGGAAGTGGAAGAGCCCCCCGGGAAAACAACTTGCCTCCAAAAACTAGGTCACGCCGCCAACAGCGACCTCGTGCCAGGAACGTCAACCACACTTTCCTCATGTAACCATAGCCATAGACAAGAGCGTCAACACTGTTTTCATGTTAAGTAGACTCTAACAACAGAATACGTTAGAAGCTGAGCGTTATTGCGTACCCCCAACTTGATCATAGCCAAAAGGCCGATGATTCTCATGGCCTCCTGGCCTCTTCATCTGAGACCTTGTTAGCCAGCCTCGACCAATCAACTGAAACCCCGTCGACAAGCAAGCAAATAAGAAAAGAATCAGCTGCACACAGCTGATGGAGGCAGGACCCCACCCGACCCCCCCCCCAAAAGAAGTGACAGGCGTGGGAACACATGTACATGAATTTGGAGGGCCACTGGGGAGAATGTTGTTGATAGCAAAAAAACGCTAAATCCCCCGGGGTTAGAGCTGGCGTGAGCAAAAAGTCGGTTTGTACTTGCCGTGCCCACCTACGAGGCCATTCACGCGGTTCATGATTCGATTGCAAATCGGCTGGACACCTTGGAGGATGGTGTCTGGGCGGAGATGAGAATGAGTCAGAACTCAATATAAAAGAACTCCTGTTTTCACAGAGCGTGGATGTTCTGTCAAGGCTTGCATCACCTGGGCGAACAGATGGATCATCGTTTCTCGGTCTCTTCCGCCGCTTCAGAATCGCGACGCGCCAAGCGGCAGGCGGGTGCTGTCACAGGAAACGCCCGAAACACTGAAGCACATGCTATGCGGGGCGTTGCTGAGTCACAGGTTGATGCATCCTAAAGTCAACCGGAAAAAAATACCGGAGAGTGTTACAAATGGAAAGACCGACACTCATGGCATCGAAAACGGCTCATCATTGTTCCAACATCGCCATGTTGGCCACCGTTGGTCCAACTCCAATCTCCAGGCCAAGCAGAGTGCTGCGAAGCAAGCCTTGCAAATGGACATCAGCAGCCTGGTGCCTTTCCGTGCACCTCATCGGCGCAGAACAGCCAGTGAGGACGTGAAGGACACGAAAGACATGAAGGATAAAGACGTGGAGAGTAAGACGTTGAAGGAGAAGAAGGAGGAGAAGAAGGTGGAGAGTGCTCGTTGGTATGAGGTCTTTGCATTTATGAGGTCTTTGCATATATATATAATGATATTGACATCAAGCCACCGGCCACTTTGAAAAGTCTTGTCGCTTTCATCCGGACTTGAAGTGGAAGGCAAGTGGATTGCTCCAAATTGTGATTTCCAAGTAGGAACATGATTCCATTCAGACTCTCAGAATATTTCAGAATGACGAATTCATATGAATTGACATGAATGGTCACTCCAGGCAGGTGTCCCTTTGCCATCTACCTTTTCAGGCTCCTCGAAAGGAGTTGAAGCCCATGGCCGAGGGGCGTGAGGAGCTCGAGGCAACGGGTCACAAGGCGGGCAAAACGCAGCGTTTCGTCTCCATGCCATGACCTGGAATTCACACTCACAATGGGCTCCGAGCTCACCGGCCGGAAGGGTCGGACGGGGCGGTCAGTTTGGTCGGTGAAGCCAACGCTGGTTCTTGCCAGGTGAGTGGAACTGCTTCCCGCGGCTCTCACTCACCACCAAAGCTCTCCAGGCGAACCTCAAGTGTTGAAATGCAACAAGTTGTGTCAGGGCGGGCCAATCTTAGTGGCTCGGTTGCAGAAGTCGCCGACCTTTTAATCAACCTTCAATCTCAAGACTCAAGATTTACTCACTCTATATCGAACTGCCCACAGTCCCCAAAGGTGAATGCTTTATTTCCCAGCTTCTTTTGGGCAAGTAAGGTGATGTTTTCAAGTTGAGGGAGACGCGACTCACTGCCAACTTGTCTCCACGGAGACTTACTGCCGTGCTGCCAATCCCTTCAGGCCAGTCCGAGTCCGACCAGCCAAGTTTGCTGGAGGAATCCCTGGTGTTGTCTTGGTCACAGTCTTGTTGGCTGACACTCAGCCCTTTGAACAACTTGGTATCTCGACACTTCTCAGCAGCACTGGGTTTGGTGCCGCTCTTCGGAGTGAGCTCGCTGGGCTGTACTCGATGGTGGGCCTCACGGCTATACCACTGGCTACTGATCTCATTCCTCTTCTTCCGCCTTGTCAGCAAGGGCTACGACCTCGTGCTTTGCCACAACGCGGATCAGGCTCATAATCTTTGCTTTCATCCCTGGCCCCCTTTGGCTGTGGACTTCTTTCTCATTCTGGGCAGCTGTTTGGTTTTGCTCAGCCTGGGTGGGTTTTGGAGCTACAAGGACTGCATACGGGGGCTCTTGGAGCTACTCTAGCAGGTTGGAAGTGTCGCTATGGGGTACGTTATACCACAACCCTGTTGAAGACGAGGCCCGAGGTGAGGTATACAGTGAAAGGATGTGAACGGTATGCGTGACATGATACAAAAGGAGACCCACAAAACTACCCATCCAAACCGTTTTCCTTGACAAAGTGAGTGATTCTGTCGCACTTGCTCCAGGACACTACGAGACTAGTGGCACAGAGTATCGAAGAACTATCGTGTTACTGTGAGAAAACCTCACTCGACATGGCCTGGAAGATATGGAGCTCGTCCGACTCTGGGCAGAGATGTTGTTGGTGGACTCGACTTCTTTTGGGGCTGGACACGGGAATGACACCGGGTTTTGTATGGTTTTGTACCATATTTCTTTTCGATGCCCCAGTCTGGAGAAGTTTTTTCACTGCGCGGAAGGCCTCTAGCAGGACCATCAGCTCAGACACAACTCAGCTCAGTGTCTCCATGCGGCCAATGGCCAATCCAAGTGCTAGTGCTGTTGTCTGAGGCCAATGAACAAGTTGAAAAAAGGGGGAGGAAGGATTCGAGGGTTTGCAAGTCTGACCCATAAGCAACTATATAGAGGGCTGAGAATTATGTTACAAGATGGTACAAGCACTTTTGAGGTCCTTTTAACCTTTTACAATCCCATACAGTGCCATGTACAAATCGACATCCAAGATTAGGCCTGTTGGGTGCAGCTTTGTTGCCTGATGCCTTGCCCATGCAAGGATGCCTTGCTTTTAGTGCTTGTATGGCTTGCATTGTTGGGTGCTCGCCTTAGCCTCTTTGCCCGCTATGTATGGGAAGCGGATGGGTCAATCAATCTTAGTGCCATCTTCTTCTGCATCGAGCATGCCATCAGCACGGCTGTGCTGGTGGTAGCTAGCTTCTGGCAAGTGCGCACCTCTCATGCCATGATGCTTATCGTAAACGCGTGGAGCGCTTGGTTTGTGGAAGGTGATGCCTCTTGCCTGGAGGCCAAGCGTGACTGGCGTGGCATCAGCAGCCTTTTCCGGAAGACCTCACGCAGCTTCGAGCGTTGCTTAACAGCTTTAGGATCCACAATGGTCATGCTCATCTTTGCACAGCTGTATGACTTGCAACAAGATAGAGGAATGGACCTGGTGGCCTCATCAATGTTTGTGGCCTATCTCATACCAGGTCAGAGATCAGGGTGCAAAGAGGAGTCAAACAGCTGATGCTGAACATATGATAGGGACTTGATAGGGCACATAGCTAGCAAAGTATTTTGTCAGTGGACATGTGTTCAACTACTGCGCACCCTTGTTCTGGCCGGGCCACCCCACAAATGTTGCCGCAAGTATGATACGTACATCTGATACATCATCAAATAGAGTCAAAAGATATCCCCAAGCAACTGGGTTTTTGCTAATGTCCTTCTCAGGTTCCAATTGACATGCTCATGCAGCCTAAGGTGGTTTCACTTGCGAGAGAACCATGCCATTGGTACGAACCCTATGTCTCGATGGTGGTTTCATACGTAAGACATTTTATATTCAACCTTACTTGGCGTGATTGAACTCATCATAATACTCTTCTTCAAGTGAGTTGAAACCACCAACCAGCTACGAGCTGCGTTTGTGTGACACATGACCAGCAACAGCTCGGCCTACCTGGGCAGGTGTGCTGTGGACGCATGCATCGACAACCACCGCATGCCGACGGCTGCCTTCGCTGGTGACTCTATGTGATGTGGAGGATGAGGAACAAGACCACGACTACTTGGGTTTGGCAACATTCTTGTCTCTGAGCGAGTGTGGCTTTTTCGTGACTAAGCTTCACCAACCGAGCCTGTAGCTTTCTTGTTGGCTGGTCTCGAACTGTTCAAGTTGTACTGACTTTGCCTTTTGCGCCCTCAAGCTGAGGTATGGGATACTTGTGTGACAATGGGCCTGGTTCAGAAGCTACTCTACTTCACTTTTGCACTGGCCGGAACTGTTGGATTCCAAACAGGCGCCGAAAAAATGAATTGTCTTTTTGGGTCAGGTTCGAAGGGTGCCCAGAGCTCCGTGTTGAGTCTATTTTTTTTTCGGGGGGATCTGATGCCCAAGGCGACCAAGCTTAGGGACCGACTTTGACAGATTCATCTGGTGGATTCGATGCGAAGTTTCAGCGGTGCAAAGTTTTGCAAATCTGCAAAGGCCCAAAACTAGGGGTTTCTAGTTTCATAGTGCTTTCCATAGTGCTTTCGAAATCAGAAACAAAAGGCACCCGACGCAGGAGCCGTGCAGAAGATCCTCTTTGCCTCAGCTGAGAGTGCATGACAGACAGATGTAATGCGATGACAGACATGATAAGACAGGTTTAGTTTATTTTAGTTTTATACATTGTGAGGTATGATTTGGCCATGTCTATATTGTTCAAAAGGAGCCTCTATGAAAGAGCAGAAAGAACTGGGCCAACATGGGCCAACTTTCGGCTGAGTCAGCGCCATGTAATCCGTGCACAGGCGGCGCAGGCGTGTGCACCACAGCAAACTTTGAAAGGAGTTTTAGGAGAAGGGTCGACGTATTCGCCATCTCCTTCTCCCCTTCAACTTGCAAAATGTGGAGGCGCATCTTTAGCAGACACCTGTTTCTCTTTTGGTTCCTGAGCAGGGCCCTTCGCAAGAGTTCCCCCTCGACCATCCCCTGAAAATGGTTTAGTATGGTTTAGTGATGTTAAGTTCTGGTGATGTTCTGGTTATGTTCGACTTGCTTTGTCACCTGCAAGACTCCAACAAGATTGAAGATCCAGAAATCGCCAAAGGGACAGATGGTTATGTTTTGCATGCGTCCAATCATTCGAGGTGTTTTTCAAGCTTGCCCAAGGGAGGCCGCTGCGGAGCCATCCGCTTTGAAGTGCATCATGATTCGCCTGAAGCGAATCTGCTTGATACGTCTCACGCGTCTTACTCTGTCGGTCATGTCAATGACCGGAGGCCTCTGAAGCCTGTATGGTGAGTGGTTTCATGGAGATAACGACCAACCATTTCTGAGTGTTTGCCCTGTGACACGGCCGATTTTGCTCCAAAGGTTTGATGAAACAACCTCCTTTAGCCTCCCTGGGCTGTGGATGAGACCCTATGACGAGCTTTGGTAGGCTGAAGCAAAGATCTTACAGTAGCTCTCAAACCTTCATTTGCCCCGGCAGAATGGCTGCGTATGGATTTAATTAGAAGAACACCTGGGTGGGCATTGTATTGGAATGAATTTGGACGAATGTCAAAGTTGTTTTCCTGAAGATGATCCAGTGGGAGGCCCCTTGCATTTTGCACTATATATTTATATATGTTGTATAACGAATGTCAGAATAGGCACTGTTTTGAACTGGCAGACAGCCAGCCAGACCGCCTGGAAGTGGCATTTCCACAAAGTATATAGTGTTTTCACAGAATTTGTTGTATTCTGCAAGTCAGCATTTGGTGATGACTGTTCTCTCCAATGATGAGAAGCATTATAAGAAATCATAAGAAGCTTGATGCGCTGCATCATGAACAGGTCCAGGGGGCCTTGAATGATCTAAGCGTCGAAACCAGGTTTGCATAAAACTTTCCGGGGCCGACTCTAGGGCCGGGCCATCTCGCACAACTTGCAGGTGGTTCGATACCTTTGTGTAAAATGATCTTTGTTTGAATTTCACTCTGGATCATTCTGGGTCAAATACAAGATCCATAAGAATCATGTGCATGTCAGGATTTCTTTGATTTCTTTTGATTGTAATGCTGCAATGCCCTCTATATAACGCCCTCCATATTGTGTTGCCTAGATGTTCAAGGCTGACCCAGAGATCCAGTTCAACGCAAGGCCAGCAAATATCGCAGAACTGGACTGTCGGACGGTGTCTTCTTGGCCAGCGAAGCTTTCGACTGGTCGACCCAAGTGGTCGAAGACACCAGAAGCTGTCAAAGCTGGCTGGTACGATGTTGAGAAATCTTTCTCGATTCTGCTTATCTAACAAGTTGGTGCAGGGAAGGTCGGCAAGACCAAAACAAGTTAGACCCGTCCTGTATCCGTTCTGGGATCCTTTGTAATCCTGAAGAGATCACCCTTTTCCATGATGGTCAAACCATGCCTAGTGCCTACCCATCAAACCCGATTCGCTTGACCAGTTGACCGCATTCATTGCCAGTCCGAAATCTCCATCCGGGCCATTCCAGGCCTGTGGGGTGGAGCTGACTTCAGACCGAAGGGGAGTAGAATCTTTTCTTCTTCCCCAACAGCGAAGCTTGTGCGTCTTCAGCCATAAGTTCCGGAGCAGGTTCCGGAGAAGGTTCTGGTGAAGCGGAGCAGGAAGTCTGAAGCAGGTCCGGAGCAAGTTTGGGAGGAGGTTCCAGACGAGGTTCCGGAGCTTCCGGATCAGGTTCTGGACTTGGATGTTGAAGTACTGCCACGCCGAGACGCTGACATGGCGTCATGTGGGTGCGCTGCGTATGATGCTGTCACTTGGAGGCTGTCATGCGTACGTGTTGTCGCGCGGGCGGGCTGGCATGGGTCACACGGTCACGCTAACATGCTGGCGCCTTATCACGCTGGGATGCTGAAATCGGGTCATGCTGTTGTGCTGACTTGCTGTCAGGTTCCCTGGTTCTTATTTCTTGGAGCTTGCAGACGCGTGGGCATATGTGCCATGCCGACGTATTGCTGTGAATGCTCGCATGACAAACTGAAACGGTTCACAGTGCACACTATTGAAAGCAGCATTGCCTGGCAAAGACATCCCACTTGTGGGTGAACTTCGCCCAGTGCCCAGCTGTCGAGACTCTTCTTAGGCGGTTTACTTGCTTGTTTTTCTAGTCGCAACTATCATCCTGACCGCTGAAGACTCCAAAGCTAGCTGACCAGGTGAAATCTCTTAGTTGTTTAAGCGGCCTACCTGTGCCAAAGTGGGGAGTGCGGATCTGCACTCCAACTCACCATTAGCAGCACGCAGCTCTTGCGTGACGGTTTGCAGGATGTGCAGGTGCACAATCATGCATTTGTATCGAACTTTTCTGCACTCCAACTCACCATGAGCAGCACGCAACTATTGCGTGACGAGTTGCAGGACGTGCAGGTGCACAATGATGCATGCGTATATTTTCGTCAGAACATTATGCACAAATCGGAGCTCTCTTCGGTGACTGCGGCTATAAAGATGCAGTGCAAGCATTCATTAGCCTCTAGCTGATGGCAAGACATCGTGTAGAAGGGAGGTGACCTGGGGATATTTGGGGTGTCCACAAAGCCGTCGAGGTCTTCTGCGGATGCCGCCTTCGTATGCCTTTGTATCATTTTGTGTCTATATCCGTTCCACATCGGGTAGTTTTCACTGGAACAATTATCTCACCCCATGTCGCCTCCATCATTTCCTGTGACATGCTGTGCTGCTTGGCTTTTTGATCCCGCGCGAGGGGCACCAATCATATTACATAAATAATATATATATATATACTTACACACCGTATCCACCAATGTGTCCGTATTCGATGCACTTGTCAAGGAAACCGTTTTTTAACCTAGAACGGTTTTGTTCCCAAGAATGTGCCAAAAGATGAAGTTTTGTCCTTTCGTCCCAGGCCTTACAGCAACGTATAGGTAATTAGTAGGTTCCCGGAATGTGCGTGGCATGGCTCTGTAATTGATTCAAAGAGAGAGAAACACAACCAGGGTATCCCCTGAACTTTAGAGAACTCAGCTGCATGCCATCCATTGAACCCAACTGCCAATGGCTAGGCCTTCTTCACACACTGCCCTGGTTTGAACGTGGTGATTGCCTGAGTCACCACTGCGGGTGTTTGGCATCAGCTTGGGATGCTAGCTGGAACGCCCTTTTGATCCTTTTTGGCACAGCGCCCACCTCCGGGGCTGCGTCTTACGGCGTGTTGCAAGGGCCCGGTGGAAATCGACACTGAGACTGTGTTGTTTGGATCCACAGGAGAGTGATTCTTGGAATCTTCAAGCTTTGGGCCTGGGTGGACTGTTTGACAACTCTATGTCTGCAAGAGTACATCGTGTCTTGAGCAACTTCCCAGATGAGATGGGCAAAATCCCTGTTGAAACAAGTGAATGTGGCTCATTCTCCGATTGGTGCTGCTCACATGATTCAAAAAGGGATGGCTCTTTGTCTACCCTCGACGCAGAACACTCAAATTTCTGGGTGGTAGAGGAACATCGTCTTCCAGCAATCCCTAGAAGAGAGTCCATGTTTCAGTGATTTCAGGCTTCCCAGATTGAAGCTCGATTAAGCTCGTGACTCCTCTCAAGACATTGGACACCATGAAGCGAAGGCCCAGGACCCAGCCCTTCCGCACACTGAGACTGTGACCAATCCAGGTGGTTCCTCGGGGTCCAGTGCAAGCGAAAGGTTTGCTGCTGGCAGCCATCCGCTGTAGCTTGGGTGATGTGAAGTGACGAGAGGGGAGGAGATATGGTGAGATGCTGGAAACCCACACGTCGTGCACCCCTGCGGGGTGTGGATTTCGTGAGCCTCCGACATGGAGATCGAAGGGGGGATGCAAAAAAGATGAAACAGGCGACCCCACACTTGTGGGTCTTGGCGTTGTGGTGCATTCACCATGTCTGAAGATGTGTGAGGAGTTCATTTGTTAAAGAACCAATTTGGATATCATTGTAGGTCAGTTCATCAATGAGCTGAATACTTCTCTGCGAGCATACACAGATCGGGGTGCTTTGACCCCCCTGTCAAGGAGGATAGAAGGGTGTGGATGATCTATGTTAAGCTTTGTTTCAGTCCCTACTGTCCAGAGAAGCAGGGGAGCCATCGCAATGTGCAACCCAACTTGGACAACTGGATATTTTGCAATCTGCAGAGATGGCCCCTGAATAGATGTGATAGATGTGACGAATCCCGTGTATCCTGTAGTATACATATGAAACATGGAAGGCAAAGACGTTTATTACGTATTGCAGGGCTTCGCACTCCGGCGATGGTCCAAGGGTCGTCGTCGTCGTCGTCGTCAAGAACTCACATAATTTGTCAACTTTTGGGTAGATGTTTGCAGGTTTTCGGCATTTCTTTTTTTTGGATTCCGACATCACACCGATATCGGCCAGTGCTTACCGGAGTCTCTCCCGCTCTGCTCACACTCACGTTCATCGTTCTAGACCGGGGTCGGCAGATCATATACGGCCCTACTTTATGGTCATTTCCAGACTGACTGTTCAACATGGGGCACAACTTGCATTCCTTCTTTTTTCCAAAGGAGGTCGCGCAGTGGCCAACGACGAGACAGAAACCATCAGTGGACCACGCAGAGACACACTGGTCATCCTTTCGGGGTCATCCACGTTGGCCCGTGATGATTTAT